CGAAAGCGGTGGAAAAAAAGAGGAATGACTGGGAACGGAGATGAGGGAGGGAAGGTGCAGAAAGGAAGGTAAAGAACTTGCATAGCTGAGCCCAGCGTGTGACAGTATTCGAATTACAACATGGGATTCCCACCCAACTGCCCGCGCCATCTTGGTATAGTATTTAGATTTATTATCGTCGGGGAATAAAAAAACACAAAAAAAGACCACCAGTGTCCCATTCAAAAATCATCAAAAGTATTTCTGTTTTATTCAAATTTAGTTTCCAGTTCTAACAAAGCCTAGGCAAAAGCTTTTAATGCTTTTTCAAAACTTTTAGCTGGTAGTGTTACGACTCATCGAACTTCAAATGGGTTAATCTCAGTGGAAACAGGACCCGGATTAACTTTTTGCTGCAGGCTGCTCCAGAGGAATTTTGGAATTTCATATCACTAACTGCTCTCAGTTATAACGAATTCATTCAGAACTATGTAAAAGTGATTTGTGGGAGGCTACAGTGAACACAGTGGCACTAAGCAGTAAGAGAGCAAGCACTACCGTATACGAAGAGCAAACAAGACTGAAGCAAAAACAAGTGAAAATTGTGCTAATAAACAAGTGAAAATTGTGCTAATTTTAAAATACGTATTAACTTTGCTTGCCAATGCTAACGCGATTGCTTATAATGAAGAGCTTTTTAGTTCTCGAAAAATAAGAAGGATTTACATATAAATTTACATAATTTCAAAACATTCAATGAGTCCGCTCTATCGATCGCCATCCTCGGGACATCGATATGGGATTATTAAATGTCTTCAAGTAGAAATAGAAGCGAAATTAGCGCACTGAAAAAAAAACTTACCTGCGAACCATTCTATGCACATTTTTTTTAATCTCATAATCGCTCATAAAAAATTCGTTAAAATGCAACGAGAATTTCATTTAGCCAATTTTTTCCTTTAATATTGTGAAATTTCAATGATTTGGTTAGAGAAAACTTTAACAGTAATATGAATCCGAAATGCAAAAGCCTGGAACATAAAAATACTGATTTTTTTCTAAATAAAAAAAAAATAATCTGCATTTAGTATATACGCACTGCTTCTGTATGAATGAACCACTAATGTGAAAACAGGCGTGAAGAAGAAATGAGGTTTCATTCTATTAATTAATAATCAAACATATCAAGCAAACACAGAAGCAAGAATGTCAAGCACAGATAGCACCGTTAGCTTTGGAATTTTATAGTAATTATGGAAAAGACAATGAGCTGTTTACACAGCCCATAAAAAGAAATACTTAAATTTCGGAATTGGATCTCAAAACAGAATTTCGCCAAACTCACTGAGAATGTTTAAATTTGCCATGGTCACACTTCCTTTGTTGCGCTTGGAAAATTTGCTAATTTTTATGCGTTTCAGCAGTGACCGCATCAAAAAATTTCAAAAGATCCAAAAAATATGATCAAAAAATTGGAAGGCCATAGACTGGAACTAACAACAGAACAGGGAATTTTATGTTGTATCTAGATGCATTCCAGGCGCTGAATACTGCACTGTAGCAGTATTCAGGCCATACATACCACTCGGGCTTCCTCTTCTAGTTCATTTCCATATTTGTCTTGCTCAAAGTAAGCTAGTAACATGAGATTAGCTTGACAATTTTGTGAAGTATCGGGAAAATATTGTGACCTTTGTCCAACAAAACGTACCTTATTATGGGTGCGGCACCTCACACTAAAAAACTTCATTTAAAAAAATGAACAAAACCTGGAGGGACTATGACGGCGAAGTAGTTACTCAGCAAAACGCACAACGTTGCCGCCAATGCAACACAAGAAGTCATAATATCCAGTTGTCAATGTTCCTAGCTATATCACTTTTATAACACGAGGGCACTTGACCCCATGGTGAGAAATTTGCATATCACAAGGGAGCGTGCGGCACCCAGGGCAGTGAGAAGATCGGCCAGTTTCATTTTTTACTCGTACCTGCCACTACTCTTTTCGCGACAGTTTGCCCACCTAGCATTACCTCGTCATATTTGATCACACCTTTTCTCTTTTTTTCTCTCTCTCCGGCCAATCAGCAAAATCGTTTATCAGCATGACTGCACATTTGGGCCTTATCACTCAAATATAAT